GAGACTGCAGAGGGGGTCATCTTTCGCACCAACCTCGAAGAGCGGGGCGAGACCGTGGTCGTGTTCCCCAACAAGAGAAACACCGCCACCACCCTTGAGGTACAGTACGCATCTGCCTATACCGTTTTGTCTGTCTCTCTCTCTCTTTCTCTCTCCCTCCCTCTCTCTCTCCCCCTCTCTTTCTCTCCTGGGTTATACATGTCTCATTTTTTGTATTTTTTTGTTCTGTTTTTGTCGTCATGTCGTCTCTTTCTGGCGCATCTCGAGGGTCATTGTTGTGCCCGTCGGAAAGTGCTGGAACATGTCGATCACGACAGCTTCTCGTCCGATGGCGTCGAATCCGAATCCCATCTCACATCCCGCTCGCTCGATCACGTCCCGTCCCATATGCGTGCCCATTCCATGCGCTGGGTTCCCCAGAGCAGCGAATGGTACCCCCTTTTCACCTCGCACCCCGCTTGATCACGTGCCATCCCGTTCCATGTCATGTCATCCCATTTTGTAGCGCTGGCTTCCCAAGAGCAGCAAACGGTACTCCATTCTCACCTCGCACCCCGCTTGATCACGTCCCATCCCGCTCCATCCCATCCCATCCCATTTTGCAGCGCTGGTTTCCCCAGAGCAGGTAACAGTACCTCCTCCTCATCCCGCTCGATCACGTCCCATGCCGTTCCATCCTGTTCCATTTTGTAGCGCTGGCTTCCCCAGAGCAGCGAACGGCAGCTCCTTCTGCAGGACGACAAAGGGGTGGACCCCGGGCTGGGGCAGCGTCGCGTCGGCAAGATGAACCGCTACATCATCGCTCCCGGCAGGCCGGAGTTGTACCTCCCTACCGGCCCCTTGCGCAAGTGAGAAGTTTGTTTGATGGCTGTTGTCGCTGGCTATTTTTCGCTGGCTGTACTGCGCTGCGGCTTCGATCGATCGGTGTGTGCAGCCGCTGTCTGGTGCTGTGGCATATTTCTTCTGCTGCTTGGGTCGGTGTTGTTGGTTGAAGTTTGTGACTTACTGTTTGTGTGTTTGTGTTTGTGTTTGTGTGTTGTCTTCATGAGATATTTTGAGCACAATAACAACCTCCACCACGTCTGTACCTCCGAACTTTCATTTCAACTTGCGTAAAGATCCCAGCGCCCCATCGAGAGATGCAACCTTCACAAGCGTTTCAGCCCATGATTGAAGTTGTTGTAGCCCAGCTGAAGCGTTCATCTTGGGTGTATGGCTGGGGGTGGTATTGTATGTTGCGCGTGCCGGCGCAAGGGTGAAGGTTTCGACCGGGCTATCAACCGAGCACGGCATGTATATGTAGATTAGCAGAGTGTAGATTTGAGCAAAATTGCGCTTGTAATTTCTCTCTTGGAACGGGTTTAGCATACGTTGGGGACATGGAAAATTATGTTGAGCGCTGTAGTTACTCACCCCCACGCTGCTGTCTATAGATGGCGATGGATGATTTGTCTGCATCAATTACCATCGTGTCTCTTTTCCGTTGTCCATGTCGCTTGTGATGGCTTGCGGCAAGAAAAAAATTACATTACAATTGTATTTCTTTTGTTTAGAGTACATCATCAGCAGTACTAGTCCGGTTAAACCGTGTGGTTACCATTCCGATGCTGGTCGGTCGTTTCTGTTTTCGTCACCGATGCATGTACGTGATGATCGCTATTTATCTCCGCGCAGGAAGAGCGACTGGGCATCGAATACAATCGAGGTTGACGAAGAGGGCGAAGGGAGATACATGGGGTATACCCTGAACATGGTCAACCCGGCGGCCCGCGCCCTGCTCGCCGACAAACAGACCGAAACTGAGATTAACGTCCTCCCGCCTTGCGGGGTTGAGGTAATAATAATTTAGGAGCAGCACCGAACCCTTCCCTACCCGAGCCCTGCGGGATTGTTTTTGGTCGATTCTGACAGCGTTTGTGCGTATGAGGGAGAAGAAGAAACGGTAAGAGAAGAACTCCCCCAGCTATAGGCCTCTTTTTTGTTGAGTGCCGTGCCCTCGAACCGGATGGCTGCGATTGTCATCGACGACTGCTGTCGCTCGTGATGACCTGACTGAGAAGTTTGCCATACACTGACGTGACAAGAAACTTGCAACACGTACACGGTGCCTCGGCCTGCACTCTAATCACACGCTACATACACACACACATTTTTTTTTTCATGAACTGTATCAAAATGTCGTGACCCTACCGCTGTATCCCCAACAGCCCAACAGCAGTCACACTGCCCATTGGCCCTACGAGTATAAGCGACTTCGGGCGCCCGCATGCCCGCACAGTACCCCTCCCCAGTGTCGGTGCTAACGTAGGCATCCCGCAAGACCTCCTTCAGAGAGAAGAACCGCACCATGCAGCAGCGACTCACGGGCAACACCAGCATGTTGACCCGGGGTACCCACCCGTTGACCCCCCGTCCTACCGCGTATCCCCCACACTTAGTTTTACCGTATCCCGTGTATATGTACATGTACTTATTGTAACCACGGAAGGAAGGCTCTCTACCGTATCCCATGCCGTGGTTATTGTGACCACGGAAGGAAGGCTCTCTACCGTATCCCATGTACCGTACTTATTGTGACCACGAAGGAAGGCTCCCGCGTCGGTTGGACCAGCACGGATGTTGCTGGGAGGTTCTGAGCAAGCAGAGATCGGAAAAGAAAAGTTTGTAATGTTACAACATACACACAATAACTGTATGTACGCGAAAAGAGACGTGGAAACCAGGATACAAGACAAACGTAGCAACACTGCTGTTACACAGCACGGAGGTTGCTGGGAGGTTCTGAGCAAGCAGAGATCGGAACGGGTTTTAATGTTATTAAGACAAACAGTACCAGAAAACTGCTGTTGAGCGAAAAGACAAACGTAGCAACACTTGCTGTTAAAGCTGACCGCTGTAGCCCACGCCCGCCACCACTGCTGTGGTCAGATTTTCATGCACGCCCCCGAGCAGAGGGGTGTTATCAAAGGCAAACAATACCACAAGACTGCTGTTAAGCTTAACCGTGAGCGAAAAGACGAACGCCACAACACTTGCTGTTGAAGCTAACTGCTGTAACCAACTCCACCAACCACTGCTGGGGTCAGATTATCATGCACGCCCCCGAGAAGAAGGATGGCGGCAAGGGCAAGAAGAAGAGGAAGGGGACCAGCGAAGATCTCAGCAGGGGGGGCGTGGACGGCGGCCTGCGGTTCCTGGCGATCCTGCCCTTCCCCGTGGAGAGCGCCTACGACGGAGGGGGAGGCATCGACGAGCTTTTTGTGATTGTGCACACGTACGAGGTATGGGTTGATGCGAAGGAAGGGGGGGGGTAGATAGACAGTGGGCGAGACGGGGGGGGGGGGGGGGGGGGGGGGTAAAAAAGGAGGGGGTAAAGGAAAAAAACCCTTTGGGGCAAAAAAAATTTTGTCCCCCGGGTTTTTCCCAAATTTTTCAAAAAGGGAACCCCTCCCCCCAAAAAAAAAGGGGGGTCTTTTTCCAAAGGGGGGGGGCCCCGGGGAACCCCGGGGGGGGGAAAAACCCCCCCCTGGGGGGGGTTTTTCCCCCGGGGGGCCCCCTTTTGGGGTGGGGGGGGCCCGAAAAATCCTCCCCCCCCAGCGCACCACCCATTTGGAAAAAACCGGTTCCCCGGCTTGGAAACCCCCCGTTTGGGGGGGGGGTTTTTTCTGGGATAAAAAAACGCGGTTTTCTCCCCCTGGGCCCCTTTTTTTTGGGGGGCCCT